GGGCAACACGGTCTAGGGTGAGGCATCCCTGCCCATGGCAGGGGGGGTTGGAACTGGATGATCTTAAGGTCGTTTCCAACCCTAATTTTACTATGATTCCATGGTGTCTAAAGCATGTTTAGAACAGTTAAATCTTTCTTCCAGTATACATCACCTAATTTAAGAGAAAAAGAATTGCTGAAATAAAACGAGACACACACAGATTTTCAACCTGCATTAGCTTGCATGAGAATCTGATACTAGGATCTACAAGGTTAATTCTTCCAAATCTGGGTGCACGTTCAACTCAGAGGAAAAGTGAAAGCAGTGTATGTCTACTCGTCAAATCTCACAACTGTTACAGACACGGACCAACATAGAAAGATCCCCTCTCTACTCCTCATTACATTATAGTACTATGAGAGTTACCAGCTCTACACTGATTTTCTGTGCAGTTTCCAGCAGCAGCTCTCTCTCACTCCCCTTCTCCCTTTCCCATAATTGCCTTGCAACTTCAGCAGTGTTTCGCATGATCACATGATCATACTCTTGGCACTGGAAGAGTGACTTCAGAGCAACCAAGGATTACTTGGGACTTAATTTCCAACAAGTTTCCTCGAAGCATGGGCCTAATCTGTCTAACCTCATGCGAAAGTCCCAGAGGCACCCTTTCCATTTCTAGACTACGTTGAAACACTTCTAAGACCACACAGTTCCTGCCCAGACCCCTTTTTCAGCCGTTTTCTCATCCTGGCTGGTGATTCCCGACATCCTTGCTTTCATTGCTTTCCCATTCCCATGTTTGTACTCTTACAAAATTCATATCCTGTTCCTACACAGGAAGCAAGAGCAGGTGTTTCATTTTGTGGCAGAAGAAAGGTTAGGGATACGACTCTTCCTTTTTGAGTACTCCCCAAGCATCAGCAGACTTCTGACAGAACAATTGCTTTTTAGTAGCCACCTCCATGATGCCAGCAAGGTTACCTAGCACCAGGAGAATCACCTACATCCTACTGTTCTACTTACACTTTTGTAATTCCCATTAACTCTCCCACTGCATCCTCACCGTGTTAAACACCTCGCCAGCATAGCCTCGCATTCTGCTATGGACACAGTGCCTTATTTCAATTGCTGAGTAAGCTTGTAACTAACTGCACAGGGGCATGTTCCTTCGAGTTAGGAGTCAGCAGTGAGAGCAGAGATTATTCTGCAGTCTCAGAGTGCAAAATGTATTAAACTTCTGAGTTTGTCCTAGGGAGTATATACAGTAAATTTTAAAAGCAAGCTTACAGGTTGACAAAATAATGCATTATGATTCTGTTATTTTAGATTAGAAGTAAACAAACCTTGTAACTGTGCAAGCTCCTCTCAGCAGTATTACCCTTAAAAGATTCTTCTGGATAAATGAGAATAAAACACATGGAGAGAGCAGATAATCCTTCATCACTACACTTACTCACATCAGCTCCACTATGAAGAAGAAGATTGACAACAGCATTATGGGAATGAACCTGTAGAGGGGAAACATCCATATTTGCACACACTTCTAGCGTGGGACATGGACAGAACTGACAACACAATTTTGAGGTAATGATGCTCTACACTGTTTGTCTAATTCACATTTATATTTTCCTCAAAACAGAAGCTCAATGTCTTACAGGGTTCAGAACAGAACATTTTTTGGTTAATTTTAAACTAATGGATTTTGCAGGAATTCATCGAGGATTCGTGCACAGAGAGACTAGAAATGACTGAGATGGCTATAGGAGAAATACAGCGTTTGAAATTATCTAGCTTCTGCTTGGCATTTACAGTGAATACTGAGTACAGCTGACAGCAAAACAAAGAAGAAAGGCAGGGGGAGAGACTGCATCCCCCTCCGACAGAAATCGGAGTTGTACACGCATAGCTTCAGCCACCACCACTTTTCAGCAAAACCAAAACAACTCTGTGTGCATCTGATTTCAAATAGGAGAAAAAATAATAAGTGCACAGTCACATCCAAGAACGTAACACCGCATAATCACAACCTGAAATCAAACCTGGCATTCGAAATCACTGCTAATATTTACTGAAGGGCTTCTTTTAGGTTATTTATTCACCACAGGGGTTGGCACGATACCAGTCATTACGGACACTACTCATGCCACACCGCTTTTCTGGTTTTCCTGCTTGTTGAACATTCCTTCGTACTATGTAAAGAAACAAGAGAAAAATTTAATCCAGCCTACTACCCCAGGAATTTTCTTATCATGTGGTAAAGAGTCATGCTTAGAATCTTGCAGCTGCAGCAGCAAGTGCTGTGTATCCACGCTTGTCAGCTACGTCTGGATGAGCAAGCCCGTTCCTCAGAATCAAACAGACCCCATCATATTCTCCTCTTGCTGCCTTCTTAATTAGCTGCTCCGAGGCAAGTTCTCTGGGGCGTGGAGGCCCGTAAGCATTGCGGGCTCCGCTGAGAATGAAGCTGACATCTGAACTGAACTCCATTTGACTGACTCCGTTTAAGCAGCCAGGTACTCTCAGACCACTACTGCAGTTACAGAAAATGCATCAAGAATAAAATATGCTGGTCAGCAAGATGGGAAAATAAGGCTAGCTATCATTTTAAGAGCTATTTTAGATAGTGTGAGCTTGCTTATATTAATGGGGTGCTGGCAGTAGCATACAGCTTTTATGTAGACAAGTTAAAAGTATTTTAGATGTTTGATGGATGGATAAGAAAACAAAATGTAACTTCCATGTGTTTTTATGAACCAATTTAGCATGCAGAGTCATGACATTTGTTTATGATTTAATTTTCATCGCCTGCTTTGACTATAAAATATACATATGTAGCTTGTGTTCCTATCAGAAAAGCAAATAAGGAAATACTCTGTGGGCTCAAAAAGCATCTCCGCATACAAGTATCAAGCTGCATAAAAACTGATGTGCAGTTGGCAGTTCTACTGGCTGTAGACTTTTTTGTTACAGCGTATTTTGTATAGCCTTGAAGAAGAACAAGAGTCAAGACAACCACAGCGAGTTATCAACAGCCACATTTTCAGTACTTTCGAAAACCTGGCACTATGCTTCTCCGTATTTTTATTTCCATGCAAGACTACACTCTCAGGACAGCGAAGATCAGAACAGGTCTCCACAGCCCTTGACTCCCAATTCTTTTCAAAACTGGACTTCCACAAACCCTGACTTGGTAATGAGTAATGGGATTATTTTTCTAGATGTGACCAGGAGAAACCTAACCTTTAACTTAAAGGAATAAAATCTATAAATTGAGAGGTGAATACGTTATTTGCTTCCTTTTTTTAAAAAAAAAACAACCTTATTGACAACTTGTAATCTCAAGGCCACAAAACCCAATCTGGAGTGCAGCTTTTATCCTGCAACGCAAATTCGAAAATAATGAACACCCATGGATAGTAACTGATAAAAACCCACACATAATAAACAAACCATCAACAGTTACCTGTGCTTATACACATGCATCTGCATTCTAACATGCCAAGGGTCCTCCTCAGAAAGCTTCCAGGTGTTCTGAAAATACAGAGCATCACACTCTTCCAGGAAGGAGTGAGTCAAAGCAAGATGATCCATGTTAAGGGAATATGCAAAGACTCCTTCAGGTAAAATATCCTTATCATCAAAAGGGAGATGTTTATAGCTATGGAGAAATGGGTCTTCCTCAAGTGAAATATACTCCTTCTGAGATCTGTCATCAATGTATCTGCAGTGTGCTGGATAATCCAAGACAGAAAAATAACCAGGTACTTCAGTACATAGTTTAATTAGATGATCTCTGAGTGTCCACAGATGGCTCAAGACAGGTTCACACGAAGCTATCACAACCTCAAAACAGCCATTTGGAGCAAAAATCAGCAACGTCACACTGAACTGTTTAGCTACAAAGATAAACGAGTAGGAGAAAAGCACTATCACTGGCAGAATATGCTGGCAAGCATAAAATTCTGAGTATGGTTATGATCTGAAGTGTCTCTCTTTTTCCCCTAGCTTTAGATTTTACATCATATACCCAAACTAAAGCTCTCCTGAATCTGTAATTAATGCCACATTATCAACACTGAGCAAGAATGCTGTGTCCTTGTTGATGTCTCCTCAGTGTTGATTGATCCTCTAAATGCAAAGACTCTTACATTGTTTCTCTCTATGTTTTAGATTATTTGATGAATTGCAGAGATACCCAGGGATCAGCAGGAACAGGTGGGCACTGCTCTCCTACACTTGGGACTTTTCAGCTATACCTCTTAGGAAAATGAAGAAGGACTGCACGATCTTAGAAAACAAGACTTCCAGCTTCTACTAGCAACATCAGGGCTGAAAATGATGCCCAACAGCCAACCAGCTACCTGGAAACTTCAGAGTGCTATCTTCACAGTTTCCTAAAATGCAGTATTTTTCCAGTTTCTTACTGCTGGCATTCTAATATGCAGTACTTTTCCAGTTTCTTACTGCTGGCATCCTAATATGCCTTTTGAGAGTACTGTCTAACAAATAAGCTCTTCATCAAAGAAGGAGAATAAGTACCAAAATTATATACATTAGATACGTGAACAAGAAACTTTCCCAGGCAGCACTGGCGAGGCTGCACCTCAAATACTGTGTTCAGTTTCAGGCCTCTCACTACAAAAAAGACATTAAAGTGCTGGAGCTGGTCCAGAGAATGGCAATGGAGCTGGTGAAAGGCCTGGAGCACAAGTGTGGTGAAGGAACTGGGGGTGTTTAGCCTGGAGAAAAGGAGGCTCAGGGGAGACCTTATCACTCCCTACAACTACCTCAAAGAAGGCTGTAGTGAGGTGGGGGTTGGTCTCTTTTGCAGAGTAAAAAGAGAAAATGGCCTCAAGTTGCACCACAGGAGGTTTAGTCTGGATATTAGGAAACATTTCTTCACTGAAAGGGCGGTCAGGCCTCGGAACAGCCTGCCCAGGGAAGTGGTAGAGTCACCATCCTGGAGGTATTTAAAAAGACATGTAGATGTGGCACTTAACGGATGTACACCACTTAATGGTGGACATGGCAGTGCTGGGTTAATGGTTGGACTTGATGGTCTTAAGGGCCTTTTCCAGCTCAAATGATCCTATTATCACCTCCTTCAACATTTCCCCGTGGAAAAGTGGAGTACAGCAGAAGCTAAGCTGTTGAAATAGCATCCTAAATCATGGCAGATCAAAGCATGACAATTTTGCTCTAAAGAACTAAAACACTAAGGGAGCGACTCGAAAAAAAAATAAATAAAAAAACCAAACCAAAGCAAAACACTGCTGACTTTGAAAGGCACGGGAATTGCAGTATTAGCACAGCAATTTCCCAGTTACCTGAAATTTTCTGCCATCCTTCCATTCCAGCGTCCCATAGCCTTCTACACAGCCAAGATAAAGAGCTGTGAATTTGGAACCATCAGGCCAGTAGTAAATCCCGTTTCTGTGGCGGTGGCCTACGTACAACTTTCCCACATATCTCTGTAATCCACAAAAGAGGACAAGACAACAAGAATGATACAACTGGTAGGACAAAAATAAGTGAAATCGCATTCTTACTGCAACAGAGCAGGACTAACAAGATGCAGGCAACTGACACGTGAAGAGGATGAATCTGTTACACAGTGAAGACTGGGCACAGTCTCAACTTCACTTTAGCTGTGGTCTTCAAAGCCCAGCCAAGATTTTACCAATTTCTCTAGAAGCTCTTCCATCACATAGCAATCAGTAGTTCATACTACTTCAGTAGATGTATCTCAGTGTTCATATTCTCATTGCTAAACGACAGAGGATAAACCAACATCTATTCAATCACTCAACAGCTGTCATAAAGACCTGTATGCCAACGCACCTTGAGCATTCTGCATTCAAAACAAAAGGTAAAAATCTTCAACTGTCAGACGCATGTGAATGGATTATTAAAACTTTACACACCACTTGCTTTAAAAGTGCTCCAGAACTGTCACTTTCACCCTTCCGTAGAAAGCACTGATGAAATTTTGTACCATAGGTAAACAAAGTGCTGGACTGTACAAAAGTGGCAGATGCTCCGTAAAAAAGTTGTCCATAACCCCCTCTCTTCAGTGAAGAAAACCTTAGCTACCAACCTGCTCACCTGACTGTACCTGACTGAAATCTGATCGTCATTTATTTAAGTCACAAACACCTTAAGGTATTCACCACTTTGAAGCAAAACCAAACATTTGGAAGATATTTTATATAAATCGATCAAAAATTGTTAATTAAAAGCAAAAAACATTTAAATAACAATCTCAATTCTTCACTTCTTCTATTGCATTAAAAATAATCAAAAAGTGCAGCCCTGCCATAGTCCTGGCACTTTGTGGCATAAAAGGAGTGAGTGCCCCTGGCTTAAAACAAAAGAACATTATGGTGCTAATAAGAGCACTCACAGGAACCATTTACCGTTATCTCTGGGACTGAGGACAGACTCAGCGGTCCAAGGGAGAGCACAGAGGGTGTTACTGTGAAAACGTGGAGCTGTTTTTATTTTCACAGTGGACATGTTACCAACCCAGCCACGGACTGACAGGAACACCAGGAAGAGCAGCGAGGGCTGATTCAACAGCTGAACGTGCTCTCAGACATCACACGGACGCTCTGAAAGCTCTTGCCTTACTCAGAATAAGCGAAAACTTGGCTTGGCACCAGTACAGGGCGAGCAGGGAGAGAAAGCCCAGGGAAGCCGGCATCCGAGCCGTTCTCCTTACAAGGAGGAAGCACGGCCTCCAGACCACCCCTCGCCTGCCCACGGGCGGGCAGGGCTCCCATCACCGACAGCCGTCCCAGGCCCGCGGAACGATCGTACCCGGGAGGCAGAGCCTCCGGCGCTCGCTCCGCGCAGCCCAGCACCAGCACCCCGTACCTCGCCGGTCCCCGGCGCGCGGGGCAGGCCCTGCCTGGAGCCGTGGCCACAGCTAGCCGCCTTCGCCTCTTCCGTGCCCTTGGCCGCCGGCAGAGCGTAAATTCGCCCCGCGTCGGCGACCATAGCTGCGCCCCCGACAACACTCCCGACTCCGCCTGGTGCCGTGGCAGGCCCCGTATCATGCATGGCCCGCGCGTTGCCGTGGACACCCCGGCGGCCCCGCCAGGAGCTGGGACCTAAAGGGAGGCTCGCGTAGCCACCCTGCGCCGCCGCCCCCCCCCGCACTGCTCTCGCGAAGCTCGGCCGGGCTGCGCTCGCGGCCGCGGCAGTACCGTCTGGAGCAGCAGGTCTAACCGCGAGGCTGGCCGTGCTCACTCCAGCCGTTTGACCTGCTTTTTTCGCCAGCGGTCCTTGTCTCTTCTGCAGGCTCTCGCAGCTCTCCTGGCCGACTTGCTCAACCTTGACCACGCTGCCAGTGTACCAGACCCATACAGCTGTTCCAATCGATTTGATACCGGGAAATAAAGGGTTAACATTGTGCCTGCTTGCTTAAGCAGTCGCTGTGCTTGGTGAAGCAGAACCGTAGGAGTCAAAGTTGCAAGAACGGTGAAGCAGAATTGTAGGAGTTACAGCTGCTAGGCAGAATTGTAGTAGATAAGATTTCATAGCTTAATATTTAAGACATTCTTGTTTAAATAGTATCTTTAGAAAGAAAAGGAACAAAAGATAGCCAGAGTAACAAAATTTGCAAACCTGACAAGTTTCTGCTTCAAGATACATAAAACCAGCTTGTACCCAACCTGAGGTTTGGATAGGAGCTGAAACCCTATTGAATCTGCCTGAAAGCAAGAGGTTACTCGCGGTGATGAAGAGGAACTACAGGCCTTCATCCTCACGTCCGCCTAACGACCACCACCAGGAGGCACTGGCTTATCAGTGGATGCACCTCACTGTGTAGATGACTTTTCTGACAGCCTGGGAAGTGATTTGTGGAACTCATGTGCTCAGAGTTACCTGCCGGCAAACATAAAACATTCTTACTTGCTGAAACCACATCAAGTAACTCCAAAAGAGGCTTTCAAAAGTAGTGAGTACCTCTAAGTGGCATAATCTCCCTGAACCTCAGATCGTAACACAGCCTGCTGATCTCACGGAAGTCCTATGAAAGTTAATTATTTTGTGTGTGTGTGAAACTCACAGATTCTGTAATTAAGCCTTTCGTTGAAAAGAAAGAAAAGAAATCAATAATGCTGGATTCAGGGAGTAATTTGCAACACAAACGGTTTAGTATCCCACATTAAGCATAGGAAGCGAGACAAAATACTGAAGTCTGAGCACTCTTCGCTTTGTGCCCTGAGAGGGGCAGGGAAAAAATAGCAGACGTTAATGGAATTTAAAGTAACATGCTACATAACCACCAGAGGGATAGCTCCCGGTATGGTTGCTCACACATAATACACATTTCTATCATATCATAATACACATTATCTATCTTACATGACCCTGGTTCTAACATCTTCCTTTTCCCTTTTATCTTCACTACAATATTTTAACATTCCAGACAAGCTAAGCAGGGAGCTTAAATCCTGTAAAGTAGAGGAGCTGGTATCTCAAAAAAACAGTTTTGCTCAGGTAACTGCAGTTACCATTTTCATTTAATATTGCATTACTACTTTATGCTGAAATTGGGCTAGGATAAAGCCAATAGCCTTCCTTTGGACCCTTCAGAGTGCACACGGCTTGCAGGGTTAACTCCTGTAAGTGACAATTGCTGTTTTGGTTTGAGGTGCTTTGCAGTCTTTCAGAAAATACCCCCACACAACACTTTCTCCAGCAAAAGAGATAACTTTTTTTTTTAATTCTAAAGGAGAAATCCAGATGTTCCAAATGGAAGGTACATGTCTTCTAGATATGATGCTGTGTGTAGCTTGTGGCACAGGTTCACAGACTGGACTTTTGAGCGTGAAGAAAACAGAAGCTACATCTTACTGATGCCCCAAACTGACAAAACATGCTTTGCTGGAATTCCTCTGCTCAGCCAACGGCTCATAGAGAGCATGTATCTTCTCCAGTGGGAGGTCTTGTACCATGCTGTTAAAGGATGCTGCTATACACTTATTTAGGCTACCCAGAGGGATTAATTTATCAGTTTTTTCTTCTTCTTGTTGCTGTAGACCCTGTCTTTTGGTTATTTCTGAGCACTGTAGTAGAACCAGAGTGCTGGAGGATCTCCAGTTAGGTTTGTGTTTTCACCACCAGTCCCTAGGGTGAGGAATTCAGCAGGGCTGTTGCTAAAGAGCAGCAGCTTCCATAACAAAAAGTAGAGGAAAACCAAAACCTCGTTCCAAAACATACTGCATGCAGCAGGCCTCTGCTTCCTCCCGGCTTCCCCTCCTCCCTGGCAGAGCATGAGGCTCACAAAGTCCTTGGCCAAACCAAAACATCGCTATCAGCTCTGTTCCCAGGCCGAAAGTCAAAACACAGCACTGCACCAGCTACCAAGAAGGAGAAAAATGACTGCTACTGCTGAACCAAGGACATTATCCACCCCTTATTCCATATCATTCACGTCATGCTCAGATCCCACATTTTCAATATACCATCACTCTTATCTAAGTGCATGGACCAGTAGCTATAAAGCTGCTGAGTCCATCTGGTCCATGATTTCAGGCTCCATCTCTTGTAACAGTCTTCCAGAGCAGGAGAGACTGTGTGCAGTGTTCACCCTCGTGAATAACCTGGGCAATAGTGTCCATTGCTAAGTCCACCCCTCGATCATGAGTCCATCTCTATGTTGCATCTCTGCTCTGATGGCCTGAAGTGCCATGGGCCCACCAGGCTTAAAATAATTCACTGTCCCCTTAAGCAGTTTCTGCAGCTTGCTGCTGGGGACTCCATACAGCTGCCTTCCATCTCCGATGCTTCCAAAGCACTGGAGGGGCCCAGTGGACTAGATACTTGCCCATACTGTCCCACACACCCTGCCACTCATGACTGTCCAGCCTTGGGGAAAACCTCTTGGTCCCCCTGCATCGTCGTCTAACCCCAGACAAGACCCAAACCTGACTCTGCTTAACTTTTGAGATCAGACAAAATGGTTGTGGGTAGAACACAGCCTGTGTGTGTGCCAACATGCTGATCCCCATCACAATCAGCAGGCAGGTCCCAAGGATACCCAAAGGCCATTCAAAACCTTCAGAACTCTCAGTTGATGCTGCTGTACTTGTCACTGGGGCTGCTGTAGCTGCTGTGCCTCCCGGCTCTCCCACCACCAGCTTCTCTTTTCCTGAGTCCAGCTCTTCCTCCTCTGCCTTGCTGGGAAATGCTGCGTGGTCTCCTGCATCCTCCTGGGGCTCGGCGGGCGGCTTCCGGGAAAGGCTCTCGGCCGTCGCAGGGCTGGGCTCGGCCGCGGGGCTGGGTTCGGCCGCGGGGCTGGGCTCGGCCGTGGGGCTCGGCTCCTCCACCGCCTTCTCCCGCTGCTCGGCAGCCGCTTCCTTCTGCTCCTCGACCGCCCCGACCTCCTCCACCGGCAGCCGTCCCCTCGCGGCCTCCGGCCCCGCTCCCGCCGCCGCCTGGTCCCCGGGGCCGCTCTCCTGAGCCGCTTCGGCTGCCGCCGGCTCCCGGGGCCGCTCCCCCTCGGCTCCCCGCGGCCTCACGAAGATGGAGAGTAGGGCGAGGGCCAGGACGGTGAAGAGCAGCCGGACGGCCAGGTACAAGTCCACGGCCACGTCCGTCCCGCCATGCTGCTGGAGCCCACCCGTGTTACAAGCCATTGCCATAAAGCACAGTGAGACAAGAACCTTAGCCCAGGCCCCACACTTGATAAACACTAATACAGCAAATACCGGCTCTAAGTAAGTTACAACGGTCTGAAGCTGTGAGATCAACAAGAACAACTCTGAGAGCCAATAAATCAGCATTGTGACGAATGACTATTAATCCAGTCAGATCTGTTGTTATCTCAACCCTTCGAGCCCCACGTTGGGCGCCAAAAAGAACTGTCCTGGTTTAAACCCAGTCAGACAGCTTGTTCACTCACTTCCCCCCCCTTCTTGCTCTCCCCCTACTCCCGGAGGGACAGAGAGGAGAATCGAAAAGAATGCAACTCCCACGGCTTGAGATAAGAACAGTTTAGTAACTAAGGTATAACACAGATCACTGCTGCTACCACCAATAACAACAATGATAAAGGAAATAACAAGGGAAGAGAATACATCACCTCACCACCAGCCGACCGATAACTCACCCCCCAGGCCCGACCAAGCACCGACCCATACCTCCTCCCACCCTGCAGTCCCAGCCCTTCCGGCTAACTCCCAGTTACATCCTGGGCATGACGTGCTGTGGTATGGAATACCTCTTTGGTCAGTTTGGGTCAGGTGTCCTGTCTCTGCTTCCTCCCGGCTTCCCCTCCTCCCTGGCAGAGCATGAGGCTCACAAAGTCCTTGGCCAAACCAAAACATCGCTATCAGCTCTGTTCCCAGGCCAAAAGTCAAAAGACAGCACTGCACCAGCTACCAAGAAGGAGAAAAATGACTGCTACTGCTGAACCCAGGACAGGGAGTAAGGGGGAAAAGCCTGGCAGATCTGCCCCATGGAGGGGAGCCACTGAACATGGGCAACTGAACCTTGCCTGCTTCTTCCATGCTGAGCTGTAACCGATCTCCTCATACATGGCCTCAGGGAAGGGCTCCCAAGCTCTCCCAGAGCTTCTGGACAGTGGCGGAACTGTCCCAGAACAGGCAGAGAGGGGACAGGAACCCACTCTGCTCCCCCAGCTTTGGTCCTAAGGGCATTGCCTTAGCAGAGGGAAGTGACAAAGTCCCACAGTGTGCAGCCGAGAACTGGGGAACCCTCTGGCCCAGACAGCTGCTGCCATTGTGGACAAAAAAGCTGTGCTGCCCAGGAGGGTCCCGTCATGCAGGGGCTGGCAGATGGACACATAGTGGTTGTAGGGCGTGATGGTGAGAAGATAAAACTCGTGTGTGTTTGAGGAGAGAAAGAAAAAGACCTGGGCAGCACATCCCAGGAAGAAGGTGGCCCTGGTGTTCCAGAGGGACCTGGAATGGCTTTAGTGACAGCGGTGGACATGGAGCACAGGTCCAGCAGGGGGAGGTCGAGGAGGAAGAAGTACATGGGGTGTGAAGGCACTGGTTGCAGGCTGTGGTGGTGATGAGGAGTTCGTTGCCCAGGAGTACAGTCAGGTAGATGCCGAGGAAGAGTCAGACATCCAAGAGCTGCAGCTCCCACGTGCCTGCAAATGGCAGGAGGAGGAAGTGGGTGACGGAGCTGTCACTGGACATTTGCTTGAGCCTGTTATGGGGGGCTTTCCAAAAGGGAAAAGACAGTGACAATTTAGGGGAGAATTCTCTGGGGGAAACCTGATGCATTTCTCACAGAGCACCCTGAAACTGCCTCTTCTCTGGTTTCAGGAAGACTTTTGGCAGGTCCCTTCCATGAGCTCTGGTTGGTGCAGGCTGAGGGTGTCCCTGGAAGGAGGGGGCTCTGCTGGGGCTCTGGCAGAGCCAGTCCTGCCCTCCAGCAGTAAGGAAAGAGGAACACGGCAGGAGCGCATATGGGGCTGTTGTGTCAAATGAAATTCACACGAGATATCAAAGAGCTTTTCAGAAGATCTCACCTGTCCATCAGCTTTGGTCTCAGCTGCCCTGCGCTGGCTCTTTCAGCAGGGAGATGACTTCACCCAGGCTGCTCCAACTCGCAGCCCCTGGGGTGCAGGGACCCTACTTGGAATGACAACCCGCGGTACCCCTGGCTGCACAGCTGGCTGCACACCCCTGAAACCACCCCCGGGAGAAGGCAGGCATCACACACACCCCTTTGATGGTGCACTGGGGAATCCAATGCTTCTCCAGCCCCGCTACTGGGAAATTAAAAGAGGAAGCTCACAAGCCCCTGGCAGCCCCAAGGAGCTGTCCCAAGGATTGTGGGTGACCCACATCCGCTGCCTGCAGGCTGCCCTGTAGCCCTGTCAGCGGGTGCTGCTACCCATCCCCCAATGCACCTCCCTGCACACCTTACTTTAGAGACAGATCCTCTACACCACTCTGATCTGACAAACCATTTATTCCTCCTCCCCCATTTCTCTTTTTTATTTGTGTTCTTTTTCTTGTCTGGTTTCAGCTGAGGTTTTCTTGTTCTTCCATCTTTCCATGAACCTGCACTCGATAAATGCAGGTGTAGGCCGTGTTTCCCCAGTTGCTCTTCACAATAAGTTTGATGTGCGCAAAGGCTCTGTGCGTGTTCTGTGAAGAGAGTGACAAGAAAACTGAGGTGTTAAGTGTGACGGTGCAATTGACGTTTCTCCCCCTGCCTGCCCTGCTCCTGCTCAGGAACAAGCTTCCAAAAGTGGGTAGGAGTGGCTGTAGGCATCTGAGGCTCACTGCTGGTACCAGGGCTCCTGCAGAGACTGGAGGCACGGGAAGGGAGAAGACACCCTCTGGAACCTGGCCTGCTGGGGACTGCGCCTCCCTTCCCTTTGCCCCCTTCCCTCTGCAGCTTGCTGTGTGCTGACAGAGAGGCTGGGGAGGTCCTCCTATGCGTGAGACAGTTGGTGTGAAAGTCCATTAAGCTCCCGCCATGCTCTCTGCCTGCCTTCCTCCTGGCAGGTGTGAGGGCACCAGGAGAAAAGGGACGTGTTGTGCTGGGAGGAAAGGACACTGTCCAGCCTGTCAGCAGGCCAAAGGGTGGAGCGACAATGCTGTCCGGCAGCTTTCCCCACCAGGTATCCCTATTTCTCCTGGCACAAAGATGTTGCTTTGGTGGAGAGGCCATGTGTGCAGCTGGCTCTGCTGAAGGCAGCAGCTGCAGCCAGGGGTCTCTCAGGACTTAAGCTCCCACAGGAACAACCCTGCCCTTGCAAACCTGTTGCTGCTACCCCCACGGCATGCTACTCAGTCCTCCCAGCTCCACCAGGCCTCCTCGGCAGTGGTCTGGGCCCCTGCGCCAGGGGAGAGAGCATTCACGCTCTTCCTGCCACGGACTTGCAGGCACTGCTGGTTTTCTCCTGGGCATCTTGCCTTCATGCACAGACTGTACCTTCAGAGGGAAGGTTTGAATAGCCTCTTTTGCCACGTTGTACACGAACATCCCAAGGAGAGTTTCCTCTTCTCTGTCTGCATTCAATCCCTCAAGGGAAAAGCACAAGGAGGAAGGAGAGAAGCTCAGACTTGTCCCGGCAAAGAGGATGTTTGTATGTGCTGGATCAGCATATACTGCATGGGCTGTTACCTACTGAGCCTCTCCTGGGGCTCTAGCAGTAGTTAAGCACTGTCTCCACCTTGTGTTTTATTCAAGAGCCCTGAGGTGCTCTCACCAGAATGAGTCTTGAGAGGGATGGAACCCCTAGAGCCCCTGAAGTATCCTGCAAGTGCACTGCAGGGCTTAGGAGAAAGCAGGACACAAATCTCCAAGGACTTGCTTGCACAAAGCTTGCACAAAGCAAGCAAGTTCCAGTCACGGCTTTGCCCCAGGGCCACGTGCCAGCCAGAAGCACCCAGCAGAGACTTACAAAGACAGCGATGTCTCGGGGGGCACTGGTGACGGTCCCAGATGGAGAGACCTCTTTGTAGGTGTGCTGCACACTGACAGCAGTCAGATGGACTCGTGCTGGCAACCTGATGACCACCTGGCCCTGGTGCCCTTGTAATGGCCAGCAGTTTCCTGGGGAAATATCCGGCTGCAATCAGAATGTGAGAGTTAATGAAACGTGAGCCCATGTTCAGTTCAACACAGCTGCTCATGTAGCCTGAAGCACAGGTGCTGGTGTGTCTGGGGGGTCTAGTCCATCTTGAAAATGAGGCTTGAAAATGAGACACAAGCAGCAGCCTCTCAGTATTATGAAAAGAGGAGAATACCTGTTACTAAGCCAACCTAGTCAGGCCCTTACAGACACAGCTCTCTGCCCAGTGGCTCTGCAGAGGACCCCCTGCCTCCCACCCCAGAAAGGAACTGCTAGGGCTGAGTATGGAAATGAGGTCACCAGGGAGAAAGTCGTTCACCCGGCTGTGACTGAGGACTGTGGGCAAGATGCTGCAGTTGAGCTCTGTTCCCCTCCTGAGGGGAGCCACTGCTTTCTATCGAGGCCAGCCCTGAGTCCAAGCTTTGGCTTCAGGCAACAGATCAGCACTGTGGGCTTGAGCATTACCACTGGACTGAGAGGACAATGCCCAAGGTCAGTCCCCAGCTTCTCAGGAAGGAAACATGCACTGGTGGTTTCTGCTACAATACCTCCAAAATCGTATCAGGAGGGTTGGGAGTGTGGAAGAACCATAAAACCCTGCAGCCCCAATTCTCTTTGCAGTCATAGGTCTTTGAAGTTCTCTGCATGTCAATGGTGGCACCTGTAAGGAAGGGAGAGCAGGTGACTGCACGAGGCCACCGAGTAGGAGGACCCTGTGCTCAGATGCCCTTTCTGATGCTGCTGGACAGCTCCACGTCTGTCAGTCCTCTCCTCATCTCCATGCTGGTAGGGGTGCCTAGCTGCGCAGGATGACAGCACCCATATGCCTGGTGTCTGCTCCTCTCAGCGCCACAAGTAGAAGGCCTGAGGGTGCTGGTGAATGAGGGCAGACCAAAGCTGAGGGCTTGCTGTGTGGGCAATAAAGGATGACCCATCCGTTCTCTTTCCAAATGCATTGATGAGGAAGAGAGCCCCTCCGTCAGGCCTGGAATGTGGGGGGGGCAGTGCCAGAGGCACCTGCGCAGAAGCGGGACCAGGAGGGAATCCAAGAGAGCCACTGCCACAGACATGCTCTCGGACCTCATGAAGCTCCCCTGCTTTCAGCTCCCCTGCTTAGGAGAGCAGCACCTGGAGGACATCCTCCTTTGGGGAGTGCTACAGACAAGTGCATGGCAAGGAGAATGGGCTGCTGTGTCCATACCAGAACTTTTCAGGGCCCAGTCAGATCTTCTGATGTAGACTTCCGAAGCCAACTCCAGGGCTGCCTGGTTCACCTCCTGCCTCTCCTGGGAAACACACAAACAAGCACAGAAAATGAGCACGTCAGCAGTCAGTTCAGCATGGCTACCAGCACCCAGAAAGGCAGAGGGTCAGTGTCAGAAACACAAGGCAAGCCTTGTCCAGTAAGCTGAGAGACTGCAGCTGACGTGAGCCACAAGCACAGTATATGTGGCCACGACCATGGGGTCCTCACTCCCTTGTTCCCACCTTCCATGCTCAGGCCATGTCCACAAAGGCTGGCCATGGGAGTGGGCCTGGGTCTCCCTGCTGCTCAGGGCCCAGCCAGAGCAGCCAAAGGTGCCCGTGCCAAGGGAAGAATGCTGGAAGATTCCTACTGCCTGAAGCACCAGTTAACCTGGGCCCAGAATAGGGCCTGGGCAGTGCCAAAGCTCACCCAGCAATCCCCTGGCACAAGCTGGCTTGCTGCGCTCAGCAGGCTGAGCCCACTACTAATCCCAGGTAGTGCTTCCTCAGGGCTTCTGCCCAGCCAAGCCTTCTTCTCCAAAATGCAGGGTTACCTTCTTCAAACGGCTTATCTCCACCTTCAGCTGAGCCACCTCCTCCAGCAGAAGCTGCAACTTTTGGGTCTGCTCTGTCAACAAGGTGTGCAAATTCCTGCAGGAACAGGAAAGCAGATGTTGTCAGAGAGCAGCCCATTCCCTCTGCAAGGAGCAGAGACACAGGGCTTTCTGGTTTGTGAATGCTTCCCTTGCTCCCCACGCTGAAAGAAAGGCAATGGCCAGAGGGAAGTACAGGAGCCGTGGCTGTTAGAAAAATGGGTGCAGGTAGCACGAGGTTGTCCTGGGTTCAGCCGTAGCAGGAATTTTTCTCCTTCTCAGTAGCTGGTGCAGCACTGTGGTTTTGACTTTCAGCCTGGGAACAGCGCTGATAACACCGCTGGTTTTAGTTGGTGCTCAGTAATGTTTACTCTGACCAAGGACATTCTGAGTCTCATGCTTTGCCAGGGAGGAGGGGAAGCCGGGAGGAAGCAGAGAGAGGACGCTGCACCCAAACTAGCCAAAGAGGTATTCCATACCACAGCACGTCATGCCCAGTATATAAACGGGGCAGTTACCCGGAAGGGCTAGATCACGGCTCTGGTCGGGCTGGGAACCATTAGCTGGTGGGGAGCGGTTGTATTCTCTTCCCTTGTTATTCCCTTTATCATTATTATTACTGGTGGTAGCAGCAGTGGTTTGTGCTACACCTTAGTTACTGGAGCGTTCTTGTCTCAACCCGTGGGAGTTACATTCTCTTGATTCTCCTCCCCATCCCTCGGGGAGCAGGGCGACAGAGAAGAGGGGGAGTGAGCGAGCGGCTGTGTGGTTCTGAGTTACGGGCTGGGCTTAAACCATGACAGGTTGGCTGATGCTGTTTGCATAGGTCCAATTCCAGCTCAGGAAACATCTCTTACCTCAGCATCTTTGTTTCTGCTGCGGCTGCCCGTGTCAGAGCCTGAAAGGGAAAAACTCTCTGTTAGAGTATCCACCACCAGAGCTGCTGGGGCTTCCCAGGAGAGGCTTCCCTAGGAAGCCCCGGCAAAAGCCACTGCTTCTTTGGCTCACTCTGTGTGGACACAGAAAAGCCCACGATTTAGCCAGCCACTGTCAGCAATGCTCCCTTGCAGGAGCTGCCTGTCCCAGAGGGTCCACCAACCTCTCTCTGTGCCTTTGCCTGCATTGTCCACGCTGGCAGTGAGGTCCCACAGTAAACACCAGCTGCAATTCACATCACCAAGAGACAGTCACTTGACCTGGGTTGCTAGTGGTCCCTGAAGCACCGTGGTCTCCTCCTGGTTGCCTTGTGGATGGGGCAGCAGCTAAGCTGAGGAGGTGGGGAACACAGGGTGCAGAGACAGGACGTGCCTCTGACTGGAAACCATCACCACAGGCTTCAGGGCATTGTGTAGCCATGAGCTTCAGGTGTGCTCGGTGACCCAGAGCTCTTTCCCATTTCCCCTTACTGCTCCTGTGAGCCCTGAGAGCAGGCTACATCAGCCAGGAGAGGTATCAGGAGGGGCATCAGTCACCCTGCACAGCCCCTCTGGGTATCCCCCAGTTCAGGCTTGGAAATACATGCTCCCTTCTCTCGCAGGCTTGCAGACTAAGCAAGCCCTTTGGTCCTGTGGCCAGTGCAGCAGCATGGCTGGGAGGCTACCAGTCTTACTGCTAGCTGAAAAGCAAGTCCTTGTCAAGGATGCACACCAGAAGCACTTGGACCATGCGAGTTTCCACACATATGGGCCAAAAAGAAAAGCTGGCACCCAGCACAACCAGGCTGTTACTCTCAAATGGTTGCTCACACAGACTCACCAAGAACCACTGGAAGCAAGAAGACAATGAATCTCAAGAACCTCTTCTTGTGCACGGCCATCTTTTGCCTGAAAAAGGAGGGTGTCCTATGTCTGTCAATGAGCCAGGTTTCGAGCAAACCAGCTGGATTACCACTTCCAGGCACGAAAGCCACTGTTTTGGAAGCCTGCTGCTGACAGACAGCTGCCAGGGAAGAGCCCAGGAGGGGCACTTTCTGTCCACACCTTTCAAAACTGCCAGCAGCTCTTCCCCCAAAGAAGAACTCCAGGACTCACTACTCCCCGAAAGTAAAGAGGTTGAGCAAATCAGGACTTCCGCCTCCGCACCCCTGCGTCTGGCTACACAGCAGGTTGTCCTACCATGACCAAAGTCTGGGCCTCTGGTGAATGTGTGGCAGGGAGACTGCCCAGTGGCTTTACTCTTGGCTCTCCCTGAGAACGGCCACAACATGAGCAGTGCTTGTGAGAGTGGGGAGCTGGCTGAGGAACACCCCTTGCTCTCCCCTTTGCTTGCACTGGCCCTCAGACATCTCCTTTCTCCCCGTGTCCAACACAGAAACACGGAGTACATACATACTCCTTTCCCCATCTCTGCTTGACAGCAAAGATGCAGCCTGCAGCGGAGGAACAGGAAGAAGCTGGCGGCGGCAGCAGCAGTCCCCATTGCTCGAAGCACAGCCGGCAGCACAGCCCAATTCTCACCCGCTCCCTCCCTGCACCCTGACCCCTGCAGCATGAGGCTACCGCCTCCCCAAAAGCCCAACAGCAGAAACAGGTAGTACGTACACAGTGAAGATGCACACGATCAGCAGGTATCTCCACAGGGATGCAAGGGTACCTGCCGCATGGCAAACAAGGCTGAAGACCGTCCCTGGGCAAAGAAACCAGGGAAAAGTTAGGCCTCTGTCTTGAGGTCTCTTCTCCAGGATGCTCAGCCAAGAGCGTTTTGGCTCCCTGCAGGGAGGCAAGCACCGAGGCCTAGGCACCACCTCTCTGGGGTGAAGAGCAGAGCAGCCTGCATTTCTCCAGCCACTTGTGACATTTTGCCAGACTTCTGGCACAGTGCAGCGCTCGGAGTTCACCCCAAGGACTTTGCAGCAAGAGCCAGTGCTGAGCTTACTTGCAAGTGCAGTGGCCTTGTCATGACGCTTTGGTGGCCCTGGAGAGGATGAGCTGGGAGTGGACTGAGGAAGGCGTTTCACCAGCTCCACCTCTGTGAAAAGGCTCCTGTGGGAGGAAAACAAAAAAGATGCCGATTGCTCTCAGTGCTTGCTGGGAGAGCAAGCCATGCTTTCAGCCACGGCCCACCAGAAAGGGGGTGGGCAATGCACAGGGCTCTTGCGCAGAAGCGTCTGTCAGCTTCCCCATGCTGATCCGTGACCTGCTGGCTGTATTAGGCCGTGTCCCAGCTACCGTCCTAAGCTGATGCCCCATGCACGAGCAGCCAACTTCGTACCTACTCGCCTGGCTGTGGCTCCGCCCTGCAGCATCTCGTGCTGACCGTTGGTCAGCTGTGGTCTCAAAGGAGACATTTAAGGTCTCTTGGTCTCTTTTCCACGGTGCCTTTCTCCTTGCCATCTCTGGGCAAAGGCAGCCTCCCTGCTCAGTTCTTCCTCCTAAGCCTCAGCAGTCTGGGCTCCTCAGGCAAAACCAGTTCCAGCAGCAGCTCCACGCTGCCCTTCCACGGGAGTTTCCCTGCCCGGGGCAACAGTCACGTGCAGCTGTGGGCTCTTTCCCTGCCCCACAACGCTGTATGGGTGCCCAGTTCTGAGTCAAGATTGGCGGCTCTGATGTCACAGTGGGGCTGAGCAGGGCTCCCTCTGGGCTCCCCTGGGGCAACATGGGGACTGGACCAGACTGGGGCCTGCAGGGTATGGGAAATGGGGTGGGCTGGAGCTGGGCACCGTGACCACCCCAGCACTTCCTGGCCCTAGGCAAATAAAGCTTATCAGCTACACACAGACAGGAGGGATGACAAGAACAAACATCTCTCCTGTTGCCATGGGAACTCTGTTGTCCCTGCAATTAGCTCCAAGTGGCTGCCTGAGGACAAGCATCTGCTTCACGGTGTCCCTCCGGGTGGCCACATCCTGCTCGGGGACAGAGCTGGCCTGGCCAAGGATGAGGGCATTGAAGGGACATCCCTTGGGGACAAGGGCCTTGGGTGACCAGTGTCCGAGTGCCACCCAGGGAGCCAGAGCCTTGCTGGGGACAGAGTCATTGGGACCCACCATCTGGAGGCAGCTCTGCAGAGTGGGACTCCAGTGACCTGGGTGGGTATGGTGGCCCCAGGCAGTGGCAGGCTGGTGGTCAGGGCAGGGGATATTCTGCTCCGTTCTCTGCACTGGGGAGGCCATGGCTGTGGACTGCCCAAGACTGGGGACTACAGTGCATGGGAAATGGGGTGGGCTGGAGCTGGGCCTTCTGACCACCCCAGCACTCCTTCAAGCCGAACCCTCATCTCCCTGTGCCCAGCATTCACCAGTGCTCCCCATCGCCTCCTGTGACTGAAGATCCCAGTCACCCGGCAGTATCCCCACCTGCCAGTGCACCGCAGCTGTCCTCCCACCTCCCAGTGTTCCCTAATCCCGGGATCCTTCATGCCCCAGGAAGAGGGGTCATTCCCAGCCCCCTGGTTACCCAAGGGATGGAGAGGGGGCAGGGAGAGTCCTGCTCAGAGACCCCTGGTCTGAGGCTAGCAACATTCCTGGGGGAGTCCTGGGGGAAAACACAGTCCTGGGAGGCAGGCGGGGCTGGGAGATGGTAGTGCTGGGAGGTGAGGGGCACTGGGAGATAGGGGGATCTGGCTTTGGGGGCTGTTGGAAGGTGCTTTTGTGTTGGAGCAGTGGGCAGACACCATAGGACGCCTGGCTGGAGCGTCCCTCTGTCCTGGTTTAAACCCAGCTGGTAACTCAGCACCAGGCAGCCGCTCGCCCATCCCCTGGTGGGACGGTGGTGGGAATCGGAAGAATAGAAAACCTGTACGTGGAGATAAGAACAGTTTAATAATTGAAAGCAAGTAAAATACAGTGATAATATAAATAATACCAACAATAACAGAAATGATAATAATACTAGGAAGCAACAGAAAAAAAAAGAAATGAAAATCCAGAAAACACAAGTGTTGCCCAATACAATTGCTCAGCACCCGCTGACCAATACCCAGCCTGATCCAGCATCAAACGGTCCTTTCTGTCCAGCTCCCCCAGTTTCTATACCGGTCATAACATGCTGTGGTCTGGAATACCTCTGTGGCTAGTTCAGGTCAGGTTCCTCCTGGCTTCTTGTGCCCCTCCTCACTGGCAGAGCATGAGAGACTGAAAAGTCCTTGATCAGGGTAAGTGCTACCCAGCAACAACTAAACCACTGGTGTGTTACCAGCATTGTTCTCAGACTAAAGCCAAAAGAGAGCACTGCACCAGCTACAGGGAAGAGAATGAACTCAGCCAAAACCAGGACTACTACCTGGGTAAGGTAAGGCAGTCTGCCCGCCCCTCCTCCTCTGCTTTGCAGCTACCAGCCCTTGAGCATCCCCACCTTCTGTTGGGGCTTCTGAGAACACACGACCACCTTAGCAGAGTGACCAGCCACAGCATAGCAGGCCTGCTCCCCTGCCTTGGCCCAGAGGGAGGCCAAGGAACACATCTTTGCCTTTCACTAGCTCAGCTATTCAATGCTGATGCGCGCTCACACATCACAAGCTGTTCAAAGGGCATAAGCAGACGGTGGATCAGACACTTCTCACACACTGGGGATCAGCTGTCAAAGCAGGGACATCCAGCAATGTCTGGCTGGAGCTAGGAGGGCTCTGGACTTGGAACCAGTTCCAGTGCCAGCTCAGTTCCAGCCATGAGCTTGCCCTGCCACATGGACAGGGCATGTCAGTCCAGTCTGTATCAGAGACTAGATCTTTCCTTTGGGAGGCCTTCTAAAAGCCCTTGAGGGATGTATTTTATCTGCCCCTTGGCTTTGTCTCTCTTGCCTTTACCTTCCTCACCAAAGAGGGGAGAAATGCCAGTCAGTAACAGCAGCAGACCATTAGCAATGTCCTGGTAACACGGGAGTTTTCCATCAAGCATGCCGCTGTGACAGGGGGACTTTAGCTAAAGGTGCCCAGGCATGCACACAGCAACACACAGCAAAAGGCAAATGCACATTCAGCAACTCGTTCTGCCAGGCAAACATTGTTCTTTATCTTCGACCTAAGTTAGTCTAAAAGTATTTTAACCCTGTGTTAAAGTGCTTTGTGGGTGATGCTGCTCCAATTTCCAGTCCCTCTGAGCACTTCTTCAGAGCATCCTTCTGAAAGACACTGAGGCAGCATTTACCTGCTAGGGAAGGATCCTGAGCATTGATGTTTTTTTACTCTTGGTGAGTAGGTTGGGCAGTGGGAGCAGAGTCGTGTGTAAATTGAACTTCTGTATCGGACATCCCTCCTGTCCTAACCTGTCACTGCCTTTTTCTCCGATGACAGCGCCCCATGCCCAGAGGCAGTAAATGTCCAACAGCAGCTCCATCACCCAGCTCCTCCTCCTGCCATTCTCAGACAAGCGGGAGCTGCAGCTCCGGAACTTCTGGCTCTTCCGGGGCATACTCCTGGCTGCGCTCCTGCGCAACGGCCTCAGCAGCAGCAGCACAGCCTGCGACCAGCACCTCCACACCCCCATGTACTTCTTCCTCCTCAGCCCCTCCCTCCTGGACCTGGGCTCCACCTCTACCATTGTCCCTAAATCCATGGCCAATTCCCTCCAGAACACCGGGGCCATCTTCTACCTGGGATGTGCTGCACAGGTTCTTCTGTTTGTCTTTTTTATTTCAGCAGAATTTTCTCTTCTCAATGTCATGTCCTATGGCCACTACGTGGCCATTTGCAAATCCCTGCACTACAGGACCCTTCAGGGCAGCAGAGCTTGTGTCCACATAGCAGCAGCTGCATGAGGCAGTGGGTTTCTCTGTGCAGGGCTGCAAACAGCTAATACATTTTCTTTACCTTTCTGCCAAGGCAATGCTGTGGAGCAGTGCTTCTGTGAATTTTCCCAGATCCTCAAGCTCTCCTGCTCAGAATCATATCTCAGAAAAGCTGGGCTTCTTGTGGTTGGTACCTCTATAACATGTGGGTGTTTTGTTTTCGCTGTGGGGTACTATGTGCAGACCTTCAGGGCCGTGCTGAGGATCCCCTCTGAGCAGGGATGCCACAAAGCCTTTTCCATGCGCCTCCCTCAGCTGGCCGTGGTCTCCCTCTTTGTCAGCACTGGCACATTTGCCTACCTGAAGCACCCCTCCAGCTCCTCCCCATCCCTAGATCTGGTGGTGTCGTGCTGTACTCGGTGGTGCCTCCAACAGTGAACCCCCTCCTCTTCAGCCTGAGGAACTAGGAGCTCAAGGATGTTCTGGGGATGCTGATGACTGGATGTGTTTCAGCAGCCATACACTGCCTGCTTTCCTCTGCAAAGGGCTCCAAGTGTAGGTCATGACAGGCCATGTCTGTCTTTCCTCCTTTACATTTGTTTTCCTTTTTCCACTTGTGATGTTGTCCTCTAAGACATGTCAATTTTCATCCCCTGCTACTTCAGTATCTGCCCATCTTGTGTGACCTGCAGACTTTGTGTCAGTGGGGGGCTCTCACTGTACTTAAGGGAAATAAATGATTCTGCAGCAACTTCTTCTCTGTGTGTTGTGGTTTAAGCCCAGTTGGTAACTCAGACCCATGCAGCTGCTAGCTCATTCCCCCCCCCCCCCCCCCCCCCCCCCCCAGTTCTTCCCTTTTCCCCACTCCTGGAGCGATGGGGAGAACTGAAAAAATGTAAATCCCATCAGTTGAGGTAAGAACATTCCAATAACTAAAGTATAATATAACACTGCTACTACTACCACTAATAATAATAATGATAAGGGAAATAACAAGGGGAGATAATACAGAACTAAAAGGGGATAAGGAAAAAACCCAACAATAAACACAAGTGATGCACAATACAATTGCTCATCACCCACCCACTGACACCCAGCCTAGCTTAATTTCCTCCAAGGCAGCTATACCAAAAGCCCACCGGTACCC